AAAAACCAAAAACAGAAGGAACAAACAGAAAACAATAAATTGGCAGACTGAAGCCTTAATATATCAATAATTATATTATATACAAATGGTCTATATCATTTGTAAAAGCCAAAAACTGGAAAAAAAAATCCAAACAGGTGAATAATTAGACAAATTGTAGTAAATCCATACCAGGAAATGCTACTCAGCCATAAAAGGGAATGGACTGTTGCTACAAACAATAGTTTGAATAGATCTCAAGTGTCTCATGCTGAGTGGGAAAAAAAAAATCTCAAAAGGCCTATATGTAGGATTCCATTTACATAATATTCTAGAAATGACAAAGCATAAAGATGGAAAACAGATTAATGACCAAGGGCTAGGAATGGTAAGAGGAATGGGGGTGGGGGTGGGTATAAATGGGTAGCACAAGGGCATCTTTGTAGTGATGGAAGAGTTCTGTATCTTGATTGTAGTGGTTATATGAATCGATATGTGGTAACACATGGCCTAGAATTATATGCACACACATTGTACCAATGTCAAACTTTTGACACTGTACTAAGGCTATGAAAGAAATAATCATTAGAAAAAAACTCAGTGAAGGGTGCATATGATCTTTTTGCAACCTCCTATAAATCTATAATTATTTTTAAAAAGTATATATAAACTGTACATACAAATGTATACACATCTAAAGCATAGAAAAGACTTGCAAGGATAGGCATTAAATTATGTGTTAAGGATATATCTGTATTATTTGAAATTTTTTTAAAAAAATGCCTTCATTAATTTCTTATATCAAAAAGAAAAAGAATGCAAAATCATTGTAAAAAATCCAAATATAGAAAAACATAAATAAGATGAAAAGCACTTGCTCTATGATGCCATCCAGAGATAATTTCAATTAACTCACTTAACAAATACTGAGTGTATCCTATGGTGCCATGAACTGTTAGCATTTTGGTGTATATTTCAGAACTTTCCTATGCATCCAAAGCCACATACAAATTATAATCATTCATGGATATGTATTATTATATGCATAATATATAACAAGCTCTCATTACTTGATGTTCTATTCATTAATATTCATCCATTCAGCAAATATTTGATTACCTGCTTTAGCCAACGTCATGCTAGACTCTGAGGATATAATGGTGAATTAATCAGACATGGTCTGGTTCCTCACAAAGCTTACAGTACAGTGAGAGACTGTCACTAAAAAAATTTTCTGAAATAAATACACAATTACAGATTGTGTCAAGTTTAGGTAAACTTGGTAAACTTTAGGTAAAAGGTAAACTATGTTTTTGAAACGCCCAACTATGAAAGGAAAGGTATCTTGATGGCAAGATACCATGGCATGCTTATCATTGATGGAAATTAACCAGTAGAGAGAAAGATTAAAAATACAGTTGCCAGAAAGGATACTAGATTTAAAGAAGGCTGACAAGGAAGGAGCCAGAGCACAAGTATAAGGGTTGGCTTCAGGTAGAAGGAAATTGCCATATAAAAACAAGCAAAATAAGCAAAGACAGGTGCAGATGTAACTTAGTTCATAGATTCAGAGGTCTGAAGTTAATTCCTCTTTGAGATCTTATATTTTCTTTTTTTTTCTTTGAGGGGGGAGGGGCAGAGAGAGATGGAAAGAGAGAACCTCAAGCAGATGCCCAGCTGAGAGCGGAGTCTGACATGGGGCTCAATGATCTGAGATCATGACCTGAACCGGAATCAAGAGTCAGACACTTAACTGACTGAGCCCCTCAGGCGCCCAGAGACCTTCCATTTTCTTATCAAAAATATAAGACAATGTCATCCACCAAGAACAAGGATGTAAATTGGAAGATCTGAGGTTTAAAGAGAGTTGTGGTTTTAAGTTGTCATTTGGGAAAGCAAGCTAAATAGAGAAAGATAGTAAACTTGCCAGCCTGAATTAAGGGCCTGTAGAGTGTGCCCTATGGGGCATATTCTAATCATTTTCAGCACCCTGACTGCCATCAGGGAAAAGGCAAGGGAATAGGTATTAGGAGAAACAAAGTGCTATAGTATCTAAATTTGAAAGAAAGAAAGAAAGAAAAAGAGAGAGCGAGAAAAGAGGGAAGGAGGAAGAAAGGATAGTTTTTCAACTGGGAGGAGGGAGAAAATGGCCTGAGAGAAAAGGGGAAGGAAGTAAACAGCTCAGGGGAATGTGGGGATAAAAGCAAGGTGGTGGTGGATTTCTGGCTGGGGTGCAGGAAAGTCCTTTAGCCTTCTAATCCAAATATGATCACAGTGATGTCAGCAGCTTATCATCTGATTTTATGAAATTGGTTCCGTATTTATTTTAGTCTCTTAGACCTAACAACTTATCAAAACCCTAGGGAAGAATTCCCAGGCATCTTTAGTTGCTGCAAAGAATTATGAGTGAGGCACAAATATATTACTCTCCACACATTAGAAGGGAAGATCTAGTGAGCAATAGGAAGGAGAAATTTAATTATTTAATTATTCTCTTCCTAATGACACTTTGTGAGTTGCTCTGAGAACTTTTTTAATGTCCATTTTGTATTTATTCCTAGTTCCCAGGAGTCCAGCTCCTATCTTCTTCTTCTTCTTCTTTTTTTTTTAATTCAATTAGCCAACATATAGTACATCACTAGTTTCAGATATAGAGTTCAATAATTCGTCAGTTGCCTATACCACCCAGTGCTCATCACATCACATGCCATCCTCAATGCCCATCACCCAACTACTCCATCCCCCTACCCACCTCCCCTCCAGCAACCCTCAGTTTGTTTCCTATAGTTAAAAGTCTCTCATGGTTTGTCTCCCTCTCTGATGACTTCCCATTCAGTTTTCCCTTTTTCCCCCTATGATCCTCTGTGTTGTTTCTTATATTCCACACGAGTGAGACCATACAATTGTCTTTCTCTGATTGACTTATTTCATTCAGCATAATACCCTCCAGTCCCATCCACATCAATGCAATTTTAAGTATTCATCCTTTCTGATGGCTGAGTAATATTCTATTGTATATATATACCACATCTTCTTTATCCATTCATCTGTCGATACATCTGGGCTCTGGACATTGCTGCTATAAACACTGGGGTTTACGTGCCCCTTCAGATCATTACATTTGTATCTTTGGGGTAAATATCTAGTAGTGCAATTGCTGAGTGGTAGGGTAGCTCTATTTTTAACTTCCTGAGGAAACTCCATACTGTTTTCCACAGTGGCTACATCAGCTTGCACTCCCACCAACAGAGTAAGAGGGTTCCTCTTTCTCCGCATCCACACCAACATTTCTTGTTTCCTGACTTCTTAAATTTCCAGCTCCTTAATTCTTAAGATATTTTTTTATTTCATGAATGTTTAGCTAAATAGAAATGGACTTGGAAGAACTGAGATATGGGCAAATCTTCTGTTAAATGGACTATTTGTCCAAAATACTCTGCTACCATTATTCTCTAAGAAATACCACTGTTCAACGCTTGCAATTATTAAATTATTTACGCTTGAGTAACACCAAACTTATCAGATTCTTCATACAATGGTTATTTTATCAAGAATTTCTTTATGCATCCTTTTGCTTAGATTTAAAATTTAAAATGTCTTAGTTGACATTTATGATTAACAAAAACAAGCTTCTCAAGACACAGTAAAAAATATAAAGTGGCCAAGCAGCTGGTTAGCACATGAACAAGGAACAGACTGGGTTGAAAGAAAATTTAATTCATTCTGGAGTTCAGTCCCTTGTTTTTTGACCATCTCTTCGGCTGAACTGCTACCATGTGATTTTTGTACAAATTCTTTTAATTTTGGGTTTTCTTTCCCCCTCCTTTTTGAGAGCAAGAGCAAGAGAGAGCGCGTGCGTGTGTGTGTGTGTGTGTGTGTGTGTGTGTGTGTAGCACGTGGGAGTCAGGGTGGAGGGGTAGAAGGAGGGGTAGAGAATCTTAAGCAGGCTCCAAGCCCAGCATAGGGCGGAGGGGGAGCTCTATCTCAGCACCCTGAGATCTTGACCTAAGCTGAAATCAAGAGTGGGATGCCTAACCAACTGAACTACCCAGGCGCCTCCCCCACCCCTTTTTTAAGGAAAGAGGGTGTACTTTTTTTTCTCACTGAAAATGTTTCATTTTTAAAAATGAGCAGCTTTTCATTCATTACTAATGAAATAAAAATTGCCAAAAGATACAGGTAAGGAGAACATAAAATAGTGTTTGTCTTAACTAAGAAACTGTTAAGACACAAAACTTGGCTCTTTGCTTCCCTTCCATCACAGCCAAAAGGGAAACATGAACCGGTTATATCACTGTCAAGTAGAAGGAAAAATATACGTAATTCAAAGACTTGTGCATATCTGAGGCCAATATTACGTTCACATTTTCCCTTTTCAAAATCTAAGTTTTATTTGGCGCCATATAGAACAATCTAGCGGCAATGATTTTTTTCTTCTTCTGCCTAAAAGCAAAGTGATGCACACTGAAAACTCGCTGTATGAATCAGACAGAGACTGCTCTGAATTTCCACTAAAGTCTACAATTCTTTTGTCGGGGTTTGTAACTGGCTTTCCTCGCATTCAGAGGGGAGGTGGGGATGGACAGGTGGAGATAAAATTCGGTACAATACTTTAGTGATCTCGATGGCAGCTCTCGAATTGAGATTTGCTTCTTTGGTTTTTTGAGTGACTTAGGCTTGCCCCTTCCCTTTCCTGCAGGTCCTCAGTTTACCCTTGCATTGAATAAAATGGGTAGAAAAGTCTAAGCTCTTAAAATTACTAGTGTTGGAAGCCCCTGGTGCGGGGGGGGCGGGGGGTTCCAAGTCTTCAATCTTAAAGGTCACCTTTCAGCTCTCATCCGGAACATGACAAAGCCACGAGAGTCCTACTAGTCTCGAGCCCTACGAAGGTCTCAGCACACCTGGAAAGCCAGGGTAACGCCACCGACCCCCCTCCTTCGGCGAAACAATACCACAGACGTCATTCGCCTGAAGCACCACCCCCACCAGCTCAGCACCCACTGGCGGGCGCATGCGCAAGACAGGAGCAGGCCGGCAGCCGTCCAGGGACCCTAGGTATCTGCACAGTGGTTAAAGTCTCGGAAAGGCCTGGCTCCCTCGCCGGGTGAGGAGATCCCTGGCAGCGGCTATCTAGGATTACCCCCCACCAAAGACCAACGCGAGAAGGTGCCGTGCGGTCTCCAGAGCGTTTCCGTTTCAAACCTGAACTTCCGGTTCGTTAGCCGGTTCCGGTCCCCGTTTTACACTTCCGGTCGCCCTCGGTTCCGCTGCGGCCGGTTCCTGCGTCCGCTGCTGCCGGTTCCGCCGCGCTCCAGGTGAGGGGACGCAGGGTACCCCGGGGCGCTGCCCACGGAGAGGCCGTTGGGGCCGGGGACCGCAGCTCAGCACCGGTGTTCGCGCGACGCGGCTTGCACTGCGGCCGGCCGCGGCGGGCTGGAGGCTGCTTGGAGGAACCCTGGGCCGCGTCTGCCCCAATCCGCGGCCCAGGCCTCCGGCCCCGGCCAGCTAGTCGCAGGGGCCACCGCCCGCCCATCCGGCCTTCTCGCTTCTGTCGTGGGCTTCCCGAACCCCAGTGGGTTTTGCGTCCCCTAACTCCATTCCTCCCTCCTCCTCAGCCTCCCTCTTGAAGGCATCCGGCCTCTCGGGTTTTTGAGTCTCTCCTATGCTTGTATGCTGTCCCAGACCATGCACTTCCCGTAGCTGTCGCCCCCGCACTACCTCGCAGTTGCTGCTGCTGTGCTGTAGGCTTGTTGAAAAGTTCACCTCCCAATTCCCAAGATGTTAACTTTTGCTGCCGTTAGTTTCAAGTTTTCGCCTTTGCAACATTTTAGTCGTGTGGTCTTGGACAAGTTGTTTTCTTTTTTCAGTTTTCTAATGTGTATAATGAAGACAATAGTCGTTAGTTCAGGATTGCGAAAATCAAGTGAGATAAGTTGTTTAGCATGTTGTCATTTTTCTGTCATCGTCACCATTCGTCTTGCTCTCTAGAGTTTACTAAGTGCTGTCACAGGTGTTATCTCACGCGTTAACACTGTTCTTGTTAAGTAAATATTACTAGTCTCATTTTGAGGTAGGAATTTTGGAATTGACTAGGCAAGTCAGTACAGTATGGTAGAGAGAAGAACTAACCCAAACAGCTGTTCTTGACTCCAGGTTCGCTATAAAGGTGCGATCCTTACTTGTGTAGGTTTAATTGCCAGCCACTCCCACCCCCAAATCATTTTTTGGTTTGCAAATCTGATAGGGTCCAGAATGATACAAAATATTAGAATTGTGTGAGAAAGAAGGTTAAATGTGAAAACATAAAAGGACTCAGGCATTTGCATTGTGTGTTCCATTGTGACTGACCTGAATATTGAAGAAATGAGGTTCAAAAGCAGTTTTAAGGACTATGCATTTTTGCAAATTTTGCAAAATTTTGATGGTGTTTGTTTTGTTATGCTTGGTCCTTTAGAGCACTTGCCAACTTGGAATTCCCACTAGCGGTGTAGGTGTACAATGTTTAACATTTGTATACTACTTTACTAAGCATGCAGAGCCCATGCCATCTGGCGTATTTTCTTTTTTAGCTGAGAAAATTGCGTCTAGAGCACTGGCTCTCAAACTTTTAGTATGCCTCAGAGATGGAGGTGAGGGGGAGGCTGAGACAGGGATTGTTAAAAAAACACAAATTGCTAGGTCCTTTCTCTCCAACCCCAGTTATATTTTTAACAAGTTACCAAGTAGGGTCATGCTGTTAATTGATCTGAGACCACACTTTGAGAATACTGGTCTAAAGGTGAAATGACTTGTCCAGGCTCATCTGGAGCTCAGGTGATCTCCAAACTCTCTGTGCCCCCCACCCCCCAACACAACATAAACTGTGTTAGTGGTGTTTGCATTCTCAGCTCTTGTAAATTTTCATTTTTATTCCCACCTTCACAGAGAAATAATATTTAAACCATATTTTAGTTTGGCTCAAATTCTCTTTGGCTGTTTATTGAGGATCATAACATTTGTTAGAATAAGTTTTCTCTAACAGAATACATTGCCCTAAATTAGCACTTTATTTAAATTTCAGTAGAGCAGGTATAAACATAAGAGCATAAATATAAGTGATTTTATGGTGCTCTGTTCTAGTGGACATGTTGAAGACACCTTAAGTTTCTAAGTTATTTTTGCATATTATGATTGACAATTTGCCTTCTTGCAGTTGGTCATAATCCAGGGAGAACGCAGTCAAATATTTCATTAAACAAGCGATAGCATTTGGAAATGGAGATTAGGAAATTCAGTTCTCTGACCTGGAAGGGGGCAGGGGGATAGACTTAGGAAAACTGATAGAAAGTTTTAAGAGGGAAGAGACCTACATGCTATTGTTGATGAGAATAGCAGCCAGTATTTAATCTCTGTGTGCTTAAATCTGTGCCTGTGGGTTTTGTATTTACTGATCTTTGACACCTTGCCTCCTGTAGGTCCCAATTTAAGAGAGGCAGTTGTGATGTAGGGGAAGAAACATGAGATTTTAGTCAGAACATGTTCTGTTCCCAGCTTTGTGCCCATGAGCAGATTGCCTAACCTCGTTGAAGCCCTGTTTCCTTAATTGTAAAAGAGGGACAGTTCTTATCAACCTTGTTAAATGACATTGCATAAAAACTGTCCAATTTGTTAAATATGAAACACATAATGGCTATACTTTTTATTTAGCACAGTGCCTAGAACACTTCAGCTCAAGTTTTTAGGAAAATATATTTAGCCAATACTTATTTAGGGCTTACTATGTGCCAGGTCTGTGTGACTTATGAGAGTTAAATTAGCTAATTATGTATAAGACCTCCAAAGTAGGTAGTATTCTCATCCTTAGTTTACAGATGAAGAAACCTAGACACTAAGAGTCTGATAACTTCCCAAAGTCAAATAGCTAATAAGTGGGATAGCTGGGATCTGAACCCAGGTACTCTGGCTCTAGAATTTGCACTTTTAACAACTCACTGTGCCACTTCTCAAGTGTTAAATAAATACGAATGGTCCATCATGGAGGAACTTAACCTATAGCTTAAACCTGGTCAAACAGAGAGGGAGGGATAGGTAGCTGATCGTTGCAGCTTAACAGTCGAACAGGGAGAATCAGACAGAGTATTAGGAAGTAGTAACTTTAAGCCAAAAATTGGGAGGGTAGGGGAATTTTAACTTTGAGTCCTAATTACTTTTGGTGTTCTGGTATCATTTCTGTAAGGAGAAAATGTTATTTCTCCACCATCAAGTTGTAAAGTAAGACTCAAACTGCATTGCTCCTAAAACTTAGTTACAAGTTTGGCTACATCTTTGACATACCTATTTTAACTTATTTACTTGTATATCTCTTTCTTTTTAGGTATCTTTTTCTGAGTGAAAGCTGCTTGATCATATGTTTCAAGGATGGCTCTCCCTATCATCGTAAAATGGGGTGGACAGGAATATTCAGTGACCACACTTTCAGAAGATGATACCGTGCTAGATCTCAAACAGTTTCTTAAGACCCTTACAGGAGTGCTACCAGAACGCCAAAAGTTACTTGGACTCAAAGTTAAAGGTAATTCTCTCCTCACTTTGAACTTTTTTGCATTGATATATTTATGAATTTTTATATTAGCTATTTGTTCTCTTTAATAAGTCTTTCCCCTTGGAGATTTCTTTGTTAGGGATATTCCTAAAATTGTTTTATGATGGAAATAACAATATTAAAAATTACTTGAAAATACCACCACTATTAAGATTACTTTTGATTCCTCTGACAGTTGATGTTTGCTTGTTAAACCTTTGGCACAGAAGTCTCAGGTAAAACTGTAATTTCTGACATCTGTGTTCTAGCACAGCTTTTTCATTACAGCTTGGTTCTTGTACTCTCCCTAAATTGTCTTTTCTGCTTCAAAAGTAATGATGATTTAAAATGATGATTTAAAAATTATAGGCAGTGTTCATATCCAGTCTGAAAAGGACTTTCATGGTGTTTGTGTTTGTTGTATCATTGAAGGGTGAATTTTGGGTAGCAATAAATCTCTAGTTTTATCTTAGGTGCTCAGTGTTCAAGACTTTCTGGAAAACATCTTCATCTTGAACGACAAAATAAAACATGAATTTATTTTGTTTAGCTAGTTGAATAAAGGTGTTCCTCTGAGATGGAGTTGGGGAAAAAACAAATCTTGTATTAGTTGCTACTTCTTAGTGTGTTAGACGTTGCTAATTCAGCAGTGACAGTTTGTTAATTTAAGGGAAAAAAAAACTGCTGTGGAATCTGTACCAAAACTTTTAATGTTAGGGTTTTGTATAATGGGATAGTGAAACCAGCACCTGAACTTTAGTGAGAAAACAGTCATTTGCTTGTATTGTAGGCAAACCTGCAGAAAATGATGTTAAGCTTGGAGCTCTCAAACTGAAACCAAATACTAAAATCATGATGATGGGAACTCGTGAGGAGAGCTTGGTAAATGTTTACTTTTGTTACCATTTGTCCCTTTGAAGATATGATTTATATTACACTGTTGTATCATGGTTTTAATTGTGGTAAAATTGTCAGTTTGGCAGTCAGTGAAAAAAACTTCACAATGTATGTGGTATTAACTCAGCGGAAAACAAATACTAGGGAACTTGTTAGTATATAGTTAGCCATAAGCATAGTAGTAGTGCAAATGGTCAAAATAACATGGTAAATCTGCCCAGTGAATGTGTATAATGAATTATAAAATGTGGAAATTTTCTCACAGTGTGTGTTTGAAAGATTCTTGACCTCAGACTGTATCTTTTATTTGCTTTTTATGTTATGCATGTATTTGTTCTGTTAAAGACAATTTGGTAAAACAAAACTGTTTTTCATCTTAATAGGAAGATGTCTTAGGTCCACCTCCTGACAATGATGATGTTGTCAACGACTTTGATATTGAAGATGAAGTAGTTGAAGTAGAAAATAGGTAAGTGCTTTATAGTATCAAAGGAAATGGGTTGTAATGTGAGAAAAAAGTGAATGTTTCACCTGATTTTATTTTTCTATTAGGGAAGAAAACCTACTGAAAATTTCTCGCAGAGTAAAAGAGTATAAAGTGGAAATTTTGAATCCTCCCAGGGAAGGGAAAAAGCTTTTGGTACTAGATGTTGATTATACGTTATTTGGTAAGTCAACTAAAACTGTGCTTTATCTTCTGTTACCCATAACAACTCTTTTTTTTCCTTTTGTTTATTTTTTCCTTCCAATATGAAATATTTGAAAGCTTTTCTTATTATTATAAAAAGTATATCATTCATTGTAGAAAATACTGAAGTCATCTGTAATCTCAAACCCCTAAAATAACTGTTCTTATATTTTAAGTGTATCTTCCAGGGTGTGTTTGTATGTATATCCTTTTTACTTTTGCTTAATGATATTTTGAATATCTCAGTCATTTAATATTATTCATTATGAATTAAAGATACATATTTTTTGGTCACCACTACTCTAGTTTATGGCTGTATCTTAATTTAACCATGTCATTCTCTATTGATTAACATTTCAATTTTTTGAGGATTATTTAAAAAGCATCTTTGATATTTTATCATTTCAAGTGATACAGTTTTTCATTTAATTATGTTCAGGGCAGATTCTTTTTTTTTAAAGATTTTATTTATTTATTTGAGAGAGAGAGAGAGCACAAGTGGTGTTGAGGGGCAGAGGGAGAAGCAGACTCCTCCCCGCTGAGCAGGGAGCCCGATGTAGGTCTCGATCCCAGGACCCTGAGATGACTTGAGCCGGAGGCAGATGCTTAACTGACTGAGCCACCCAGGCGCCCCAGGGCAGATTCTTAAATTTAAAATTTCCCATGTCAGCAAAAAAGAAAGATGTTTATTTCATCCTCTAATATTGCTAAGAACTGACTAGTTAACTCCTGATATTAGCATGAATTTATTTACCTCTAATCCTAAACTTTAAGTACAGGTCATAAGTTAATGTGTACTTATTTTAAAATTTGATTATTAAGTTAGTTGGGCCTGTCATTCTGGTGAAATGTGATTATATCTGGGAGGTGAATGGCTAAAGTGAGTATAGGTGGCTCTAGTTTGTTTTTCATGTGACAAAATAATGTCTATATTTTAAAGACTACATGAAAACTAAATTTACAGTTTACTATATAAGCCTGAATTCTGGGTATTGCTCTTCCCAAATTAAAAAAATCGATTAATTAAAATTGAATCGCAATGATATCAAATTGTGTGCTTTCAAAGACATCTGTCAACCAGTATAATTCAGTCTTAGGTAGTTTGCATTTGAATGTTTATATTACATTTCATAATTTTCATTGATATCAGGTACTTATCCATGATAACAAACTAGTAATCATCTATGACTGATTTTCTTTTAGACCATAGGTCTTGTGCAGAGACTGGAGTAGAATTAATGCGACCATATCTTCATGAATTCCTAACATCTGCATATGAGGATTACGACATTGTTATTTGGTGTAAGCTATATTTTTTGTTTAGATTTCTATGGAAGTAATCTTGTTCTGTAAATTATTCTGCTTTATAAAATGTGACTTAAAATGACCTGTGGTTAAATATGATGCATTTTTCATTTGTTTTAGCTAATTTCTGATGAAACATGTTTGACTTTCTTGCATCACAATATAAACTTATATGTATATTTGCCAATACCACTGAAGTAGTTAAATACAGGAAGAGAGTAGGTTATGGTGTCAGAATAAAAATGATCTTATTTTCGGGGTGCCTGGGTGGCTCAGTTGGTTAAGCGACTGCCTTCGGCTCAGGTCATGGTCCTGGAGTCCTGGGATCAAGTCCCGCATCGGGCTCCCTGCTAGGCGGGGAGTCTGCTTCTCCCTCTGACCCTCCTCCCTCTCCTGCTTTCTGTCTCTCATTCTCTCTCTCTCAAATAAATAAATAAAATCTTTAAAAAAAAAAAAATGATCTTATTTTCATAAGACCCCACCTTGATTGGGAATTTTTCTTTCTGATCTTCACTGTAGAGTCTTTGATGCCTCAGGATATTGTTGGTTTCTCCTTTTTTTATCACTCTAGTTTCAAAACATTTGGAGAAAGACGTATAAAAAAAATCACAGTGATGTTGTTCTTCAGAAATAAAGGAATATGAATTAAGGAAAATTAAACAGACTAAGGCAGTATTACTCAAATTGTGGTCTGTGGACCATTCCAGGAACTTACAGGTCTGTGATAAGATCATGAGTTTGCTTCAGAAAGTAAATTTACTACATTACTGAGCACACTATTTAGTTCAATGGACATTTTGTTGTGGCAAGACTTTATTGAGAAGAGAAACTATTAATTTATATCTTACCTCCCCACAAACATTTAAAGTTGCTTCTTGGCAAGCCATAGGCAGAAAAGAGCTATCCTGATTGTGAATTAAATAAAATCTCATCATGAAAAATGCTATGTTTAATTGTACTAGGTTTTTGCTGAGTGACCACAAAGGTGTTACTTCAATCTTTAAATTTCCTTTGTACTTTTCCTTTTAATCAGAGTATCTCCATTTTTCAGTATTAATACGAGTTCACAGCCATTTAGATTAAATACATAGTTTTCTGGTTTATAAGATACAGGGAGGAAAGCTTCCTGGGAACAAATTTTGTTCAACTGACACCTGAGATGACATTTGAGAAAAAAGTTTTTCCTCTAAATGTTATTAAAGTAGACTTAGAAATTTAGAGAATTTTTTACAATCATATATTTAAAATAAGTTATTTTTGTAAATTATGATATCTAATGGTAGTATGTTGAAATGGGCACTTCACTTTGGAGCTAAATCAACTAGAGTTTAATTCCGACTTTGTCCTTATTTTGTGATACTGGGCAGGTCAGTTAATATCTCTGAGCCTCAAGTTCCTCATCAGAAATGAAGATAAGTAAACCTGTATTACAGGGTAGTTATAAGAATAAAAGTATCAGTATAGCAACTAGTACCATGTCTGACATACAATAACTAATTAATTGGAAACCCTTTTTATTAGCTATGAATATTTTTGTTTTTCATCTGGGGATTGTAGACCTAAAATAGATACTGAATTTAAAAAAATTGTTTTTCCCAGTCTCATGATTGTTGTCATTGTAGATGTATCAGTCTCTAAGATTTTAGTTCAACTGACCAGTTTTGTGTGGAAGGTGATTCTTTCAGTTGGTGTGTTTGTGTGCTAAAGACTTTTATTTTGAGAACTCAGGTACCTCTTTTGTCTTTAAAAAATACATACACATACACATACTATAAAAATTAAACTCCTTTTCCCTTTTTAACCATTTTACTTGGTAACAGCTATGTAGTTTAGTCCAGTAACTTGGGACCAGAAAGGCATATAAAACTGAGGGTTGAATTTTAATATCAGTGATCTCAAAACTGGTTGGTGTCTGACAATGAGCAGATACATAACAGATAGAATTTATGAATTTAGTTGTGTCAGTTTCGTTGTTAAAAGCTCCTAGACTCAGTGAGCACTAAGTTTCCTGAGCCTGGTAAAGTGTTGATTTTTATTGGACCTATTGATCTTTAACATCAACTTTTGGCACATAACATTAATCTGCTTATATTGACATATATGCCAGTGCATTGCATGGCAGTGGGAACATGGAAGTAAATTAGAGATCCAGGCACCCTATATTTAAATGTGGATTGTTGGAGAACAGTGTCAGGGCTGTTTTTAAACAGGAATTTAGGTCTTGATTTATAAATTTCCTAGATTCAAAATTCTTTTGAACATTGGTTACCTGCATCTTTTAGATAAAAGTTGTTAAAATTCTATTCTGCGCTGATGCACTAAAAGTAAGTTTATTTTTATAAATACTTAAAATTACCGTAAATATGTTAGGAATTATTATTTGTGATGCATTTGAGCTTTTAATCTTGCTTAGAAAACTTATACAGAAGAAAAAATTTTTAAATGAAGTTCAAGCTTTTCATTTGTATCGTATTATCATTCTTCATATTTTAGCCGCAACAAATATGAAGTGGATTGAAGCTAAAATGAAAGTAAGTGTTAGACAATCCATTTAAGAATGTTTTGAAATTGAATTTGTCTTTTTAGAAGTTCCAAGTTAAATTAATTTCATTCTCATTGGAGGGCATTTAATAGATAAACAGTTGGCCATTATCAGGAATAGAGGTGTGCTTAAAGTCTGGTTAATGGTGGAATATATTGTGTAATTAAGACTTTTTTAAGAAAAAGTACAGCAGAGCTTCACGTCCTTTTTTTCCCCCATTTTACAATAATGCTTTTTTTTTTTTTCTCCTTCTTTTGCTTTGGTGTGTAATAAAGAAGTGATGTTCTTCTGAAATATGTAATGGGATGTAATCTGTTTCTAGTTGCTTTTCTTTGGACTACCATTTGTTGGCTTAAACGGAACTAATAAACTTGGTAGTTGTTGAGCAAGGTGTGGTTGGTGGCCAGTAGGGTAGAAGGTGGCATTATGGGAAATGGTAGCTGGAATATTGAGAAAGCCTGGAATTTTTCATATTATTATATTTTAACCACATGAATATTTGTATTTATAGGAGCTGGGAGTGAGCACAAATGCAAATTATAAGATTACCTTCATGTTGGACAGTGCTGCTATGATAACAGTGCATACTCCAAGGAGAGGACTAATAGACGTAAGAAGTCATTTTACTTTTTAAAGTTTTAAATGTTTATTTTCTAGTATACTTTTTGTATTTATGTTGGTGGAATAAAGTACAGAAAGAGTTGAGAAGCACATTTGAGTGGATAATAAAGTATCAGTTGAGTTTGACATAGGAAGATGTATGTAAGGTTAATAGATTGGAATTTTAATGATAGAATTAAGGATCTTGAGCAAGACCGTCAAGAATGGTCATGGATAATTGTCCCATGATGATGGCAGCACAGTGTTGCTCAAAACAGAGTAGGTGAGAAAAAATACTGAATATCATCGAGGAAGATACTAGAAGCAAACCAAAACATACTCACCCTGCCCTATATAAAACTGATAAGTAAAAGCAGAAAACATGATACATGTACTTTGGTGTGATGCATATGTAACCCTGGGGAAGAGCAACAAGAACCACCAGAGAAAAGGGTTGGGCTAAAAAGATTAGGGTTCTTCACTTTGTTTACTCATTGAGTAACCAGTCCTATTATTGAACTCTTATTTGAAGGTGTTATGATAGTCACTGTTGGAGACATGGTCTGTACCTTTGGGAAGCACACAAACTAATAAGAATTGGGGAGAACTTAGCAAACTAGGAAAGCATAGAGGAGACTATTGAAATTGTCAAAATCATAAACAGAATCCTTTAAATGCATGGAGATTTATTCAATAAAGGAAATACTTCATACGTCAAGGGAAAAACATTATTACCTACTAAAGTCGTACATTTATAAAATCTAAACACTAAAAAAAAGTTGGGGAATGTTAAACATAGTCATGTTTATAATAGTGAAAAATTAGAGAAAGAAAAATAAATCTGGTGGTTGCCATAGAGGAGATAGGTGAGGGGATGGGTGAAAAAGATGAAGGGGATTAAGAAAGACAAATTTCCAGTTATGAAATAAGTAATGGAGATAAAAGTACAGAATAAGGAATATAGTCAATAATGTAATAACATATAGTGACAGATGGTGACTGAGCACTGAGTAATGTATAGAATTGTCGAATCACTATATTGTACACTTGAAACTGATGTAACACTGTGTGATAATTATACTTCAAGAAAAAATGAATAAATCCTCAATATCTAATAGTAGGGAATTGGATATAAAAATTTTTGTTCATCCATAAAATGGAATGCATTTTTGATGTAACAAATATTTGATGTAACAGAATATTTAGTGATTTAAAAATTTTTCATGACACATCATTAAAGAATAATTTAGAGAACAGTATTTGCAGACTGTTAGAAATAGTTTTTAACCGTTATTTAGTTCAGGTTTCCCCTTAACAAAAGATCTATAAACTGTGAAGCTGCTGGTGTTTATAAAAAAGACTGGAGGAGGGGCACCTGGACTGCTCCAGCTTGGACTCTTGATTTTGGCTCAGGTTATGATCTCAGGGTCCTGGGCTCAAGCCCCACTTAGGGGCGTGGTAGGCATGGAGTTTGCTTGGGATTCTCTCTCTTCCTCTCCCTCTACCCCTCCCCCTGCTCCTGCACTCTATCTCTCTCTAAAATAAAATCTTTAAAAAAAAAAAAAAAAGACTGGAGGTAAATATATCCTTCGTAATGACTGGATTATAGTTAATTTAAAATTTTCCTGGGTGCTTTTTGTGTTTTCAGTTTTTTTTTTCCTACAGTCAGCAGTATTATTTCTTTAACTGAGAACAAAGTAATCCAAGTTTTGGCACTTGACATAATTAGAAAATGACAGCACTATTTAAGAGGATGTAGGATTTTAACGCTGGGTGTCATAAACTAAAGCTCTTGTCCTATTTCATGAAGCTTTTGTTAGCTAAGAAAATGAAGAATCTGGGGCTCCTGGGTGGCTCAGTTGTTAAGCGTCTGCCTTCAGCTCAGGTCATGATCTCAAGGTCCTGGGATTGAGCCCCGCATCAGGCTCCCTGCTCTGCGGGAAGCCTGCTTCTCCCTCTCCCACTCCCCCTGCTTGTATTCCCTCTCTCGCTCGCTCTCTCTCTGTCAAATAAATAAATAAATCTTTAAAAAAAAGAAAAAAAAATTAAGAATCTGGCTTACTGTGTCAGTCATATTTGTCTTGAAGTATTTGGTTGGTTTGTTTCAGTAGTAAAAGAGTAAAAAACTAAGGCAAATAAAATTAAAATATTTTAAATAATAAAATAATTTCAATAATATTCTTTGCAGTAGCTAGGACACTAAGAAAAAAGGCTTTCTCTATATTAAAATAAGTTCTAGAAAGAAAAAGAAAAACAACCTTTTTAAATGACAACCTTTGTTACCATTTATTTACTACCATTTAATCTCCTATAATTATTATTATCATATAATTTCATATTACCGTAAAAGAGACTCCTGTCTTCAGCAAAAAAGTACTTCTAAAAATTAATTTATTTAAAAAATTTTTCTGAATGTGTAAAATAAACTCATATGATTCAAAAATAAAAATAAAGTATGTAATGAAAAGTCTTCCTCCCTCTGGCCCTGTAGCCACTTAGTCCTCTCTTCCTACTGTTCTTGTGTGGTCTTACAGAGACTTTATGCAAGTACCAACAGATACGAATATGTAAGGAGTTATCTTTTTTGAAGGCTCATTTTAACAACTCAGAAATAAAAGTAAGAATTTACAAATGATAATGATTTTGAAGTTAACCAGTTGCCCTAGAAATTGTGCACCTGTGCCACTGAATAAGACAATCAGTTTTCCTCTACAAAATGTTTAAATTCTGTATTAATAGAACCAGGCACTTTGTTCGTTATTAAGGTTTTCTAGTTTTGAAAACAGACCCCATGTGACACTCAAGCTCTAATGGGCATGTATTAGCCCAGGAAATCATGTGACTGCTCAGCAGACAGTTAAGCAATTACTTTTAAATTCTTACATTTTATTTTTTTAATTTTATTTATTTATTTTTTAAAGATTTTATTTATTTATTTGACAGAGAGACAGCGAGAGAGGGAACACAAGCAGGGGGAGTGGGAGAGGGAGAAGCAGGCTTCCCACGGAGCAGGGAGCCCGATGCGGGGCTCAATCCCAGGACCCAGGGATCATGACCTGAGCCGAAGGCAGACGCTTAACGACTGAGCCACCCAGGCGCCCCTAAATTCTTACATTTTAAATAATTACTCCTCCTTTAACCCCAAATCTTCATGTTAAAATTATGGAAAGTCTTACGGTGGGTTTAGGTAGGTAGACATGAGCAGACCTTTCAGAAGTTAACATCATGAGATCCGTTGTGCTTTAAAGTGTGTTGCATCTCAGCTGTGGTCTGTTCACACAGCCAGCCGTCACTGTCCTACAGGAGGAAAGGAGTGCTCTGAAATAGTTTGGGCATTTTGAGGTATCTCTGCTTTTAAGAAAGGATGAACTATTGGTAAAATTGGAGTTAAATCTAAACTTTTGTTCTAAGGTAAAGCCTCTTGGTGTTATATGGGGAAAGTTTTCGGAGTTTTACAGCAAAAAAAACACCATAATGTTTGATGACATTGGAAGAAATTTTCTAATGAACCCACAGAATGGACTAAAGGTAAGACATAAGTTTATGCTTATGTAATCTGAAATTTGTGGTAGAACTTGAGCACTGTTGAATTTCATAAATTTTTGGAAGTATTCTGGTCACAGGCAAGAAAGCTTACATATCTAGAAAAATTCATATAGTTGAACATTTAGAAATTTAGAAATGAATTTAGAAAAATTCATATAGTTGAACATTCTCTCTCCCACGTTGATACCTTCTTGGGTTGCCAGCTCATCCAGGTATTTTCTGTTTAGTTAGCTCTGTGGAACACCATGGGCTTACTCACATTGACTTTCAGCATCACAAGTGAAAGCAACAGACATTTTATTAGGGATACAAATCTTAGGATTTCTGATGTTCTGGTTAGCTGGAAAGCTGGCAGTAACGGTTTATTTTTTCCTTTTTAAACCAAAACAGGTTTTTGAAAATTCATACAGGGCAACTAGAGATCTTAAGAGTTATAAAATGCCACAGCTAGGAATCTCAGTCACCTTGTCTACCTTCTTAACTTTATATAAACAATCTGAGGATCAGAAAATTTGTAACTTGCCCAAAATCATGTATGTGACTGGTTAATGACAGAATCTGAGTTAGAATCTAAGTGACTTGATTCCTAGGCCAGTGGTGATCTAAGCATGAAGTCATATGCAATCTTGTATAGGCATGATAGTAACATTTAATCCTGGTAGCATTGTAAATTGGTAAGATAAACATCTAAAACTTTACATTTCTGGATGTGGTCTTTAGTGTATGAGGAAAGGTTAGAGACAGAATGCTGATCTTGATAGTGAATTGCCACAATTATAAAAGCTGTTGACTTGGAAGAAAAGTACGTGAGGTGAATTGGTAGTTATGTTCCTCTCTAAAATGGTTTCTGTTTGAGGCTTTGGGAGAAATGTTTTTCTTGTGTGTAGTTTGCCAGGTGTGAGGTACAGGAATAAATTCTTGAGAAAAGATTCAATTGCTCTAAACCAAATTCTCTATGAAACTAATGGTTAATACCTGTTCAGGAAAAGAGGTGAAGTCATGATCTTCAAGGATGATTTTTGAGGAAAGCTTTAACTTAAAAAAAAAAAAAATATGATCATTAGTTTCATATGTGATTAGAAGAAACTTTATTTTCCTAGCCCACATTTGGGCTCTACTTATCTTTGGATGCAGAGATGATATAAATTTCTAGTTCTTCATATTACTTTAGAGCAGGATTTTTTTTTTTTTAAAGTAGGCATTCTGTAGAATCACTGAAGGAATTTCTAAAAATACCTGTCTACAATCCCCCCAAATTTTAATTCAAGAGAGGTATATTTAAACATTCCACTGGAAATCTTTCATATGTCTCCTTTTGAAAACCTCTTTTAAGAAGGTAGTTATTAATGATTTACCCACAGTGACATAGAAGCAATTTTGAAATTGAGAACTATTCTTCCTGTGTTTTGTTGTCATGGTTTCATAATGTTCTTGATAGAAGTCTCAAAAAAGATTTCACAGAGATCTTAAAGATGACTGCTTATTTTTAGAACAGTAAACTTCTAATAATATAAGCTTGCTAATCTTAAGGTTTGACATAGAATATAGAAGACATTGTGAATTATGAATACAGTACTGAACTAAAAAAACTTTAGTTTTGGTCATGGATAAATCGATACTCTGAAAATTTCATTTTTATTTATACAAGGAAATGATGATATAAGAGAATGCAGATAATCTAGACCATCTTAAGTTCCTAAAAAGGTTTCTTTGATATGAGACTACAGTGGTCATATATATTCTGCCCTGCTAGTGAGATCGTTTTTAAAGAATGATACAATAAGAAGTGATTATGCTAGAACAAGTGAAGGTAGTTAAGTGAATAGTAGACTTTTTTCCACTTAACTAGCTTAACTTTTAGATCCAGAGTCATCGGAGTATTTTAGTTTTGCAATTTAATAGTGCTTACAACCAAATGTTAAGAAAGTAACAGTAACTTAGCAGGGCCTTGGTAAACTAGGAATCACATTGTACATTGTATATTAATAATTTAAAAGTTAACATGTTGTCTTTACAATTTTTATTTGAATGAAGGAATACTTTGAAACATTACAGTATTGCCCAAGATTATGCAGAAACTCATTTCACTACATCACAATATCATGCCTCTTTACTTCCAGCCCCAGGGCTTAAGCAGGGTCTGTTTCTTCGAGAGAATCTTCTCTTACCTCCCACATTCATTGCTGCTGCTGTGATACAGCACTGCCCACTCTACCTGTTTGGAGGCAAGATCTCCTACAAGTGCTTTGCTTCTGCGCAGACTCACTTTGGTGCCCTTAAAGTTGTGGGAGCCTGGCTGGCTGACAGCTGTGGAGGTCCCTGGCACCAAGCTGTTCTGATGCTAGTAGAACAAATGGAAAAATGGTGGTGTGTTTTTCCAATAACAGAAACTATTTAAAACCTTTCCTCTTCTTAATAGGATATGGATTTCTTTGGGTTCATTGTTCTCAACCAGTGATAGAATTAAATGTCATCTGTTTTTCAGTGTTACTATGTAAAATTAATAACTAATGAGCAGTTTGCATTTTCTCTAAATCACAGTAAGGATATGTTAATACTTTACTAAGGATTATTTCTTCAGTCCTTATATGTGTGTTTTAGGCGTATGATTTAAAAAAACAATTTTTATAAAATGAAAAAAATCCAAATATAAATAGAACTATATAGGAATTATATAAGGAACTCCTACATATGCATCATTCAGTTTAAACAACTTATTAATTCATAGATGATTATTTTTGCTCTGTATGTACCTGCTTCCCTCTCTGTAATATTTTGAAGCAAATCCCAGAATATCATTTCATCTGGAATTAATTAAAAACTTTTGGAAGGCTGTCTTGAGTTTTATAAAGATATTTGAGCTGGTGTCTGAAAAAGCAAAACTCCTTATTTGAACTGTGACATAAAGAAAAGTGCTTAATATTTATAATTTAACGAATCATTATAAAGATAACACATGTAATTACCACCCAAGTCAAGGTATTAATATCCCTTACTAATTATGATTCTGTACTCTCTCTGCCATCCTGACTTTTATGCTTTTGAAATAAATGCTTTTCATCATAAAATATATCAACCTTAAATATTTGGAAAATAGACTTCTTTTTATGGGAAAACTTGTATAATTAAAAAATATTTTTATGGAGACTTTAATGATAAAAATGCTTGTGATAAAATGTGAAAGGACATGTTATATAAATGTATAATATCTTAGCTATATGAAATTTTATAGAAAAATAGTGAAATGAAGATCATCATTGTTAAAATTTATCTCACTCCCCTGTTGGATCATGCTTGTATTTGGTTAACTTTTTATAAATTGGGTGGCATGAATTAAGTTACTTATTTAGTAAGAAGCGTCTAGATTGATAGAAGAGGAAAAAAATCTAGCAGTTTTGCAAAGTAAGAAGCCATGTAGGGCTCAAGGGCTGGAAGAAAGTTAGTGTTGTCAGGTTCAGACTGAAAAATAACATAAGGTACATGAGGTAGAAGGGCTCTTGGCACTGTAAATGTTATACACGGACTGTCAGTTTATTTCACTGAGATAGTGCAAAAGTCATTTTTAGTACTGACATCCTTAGTAATATTTTCATCTCATTAACTGAATTTGAATGAGAGGATAGTGTAGATTTGTGCTAGTTTCCTTATTGCAGTGTGAAGTGTTGGATGTTTGTTTTCTAACAGATAAGGCCTTTTATGAAAGCGCACCTAAATCGAGATAAAGACAAAGAACTTTTAAAATTAACTCAGTATCTCAAGGAGATAGCAAAATTAGATGACTTTTTGGACCTAAACCACAAATATTGGGAAAGGTAAGTGCTAATTGCTTATTCATTTCCTTTTCACAGTAGTGAATGAAAACATTGTCTGGTGACCCTGGTATACACATAATTCTGAACTTTTATTTAAGATGGGTGAATTCTGAAACTATTTTCTAATGCAGTGACATCTCCCCCAAAAGTATTCTTCCCTTTCATCTTAACCTCTACCTTGTTCATAAACCTGCATCTCTTAAGATCTTTAATACTTCTAGGAGAGAGGATTTGAGACTGGTACACATTTGTGTTGCTACTTATAAATTATTTTGTGACACTGGATAGGTCACTCTTTTATGAATCATATGGAAGGTAGTCCCTCTTCTCATACTATAAAATAAAGTCAGCATAAAGTAAAACACACTCAAAAGTTTCCTGTGAAAAATCACTCTACAAGTAACCTCTCTGTGTAGCAGAAAAATTAGAAAACTATAATCCAGTAGAGAAACAATTACTTCATGATTTTCCTTTCCAGAGAGAACCACCATTACCATCTTGATGTATGGTCTTCTAGTCTTTTTTCTAATCACAAACATAGGCACACATCTACATATAGCCTGCCTATGAACATCAAGATTCTGAAGCAGGGAAAACCTCTGGGGAAGTGGACAGGATTATAGTGTACTGCAAGTAATTTTTTAGAATTTGGTTTTTAGGAATCTGCTTGCATTAATACAGCAACAAAAGAAACTGTTTGTGTAATAACAACAGTTTGACTTTTCGGATCACTCTGACATATAGCTTCTTAATAGATAATTCTCATAATCCTATTAGGAAGGTAATGCAGGCATTTTTATCCTCATCTCCAAATTACTGATGATGTAACAAAGGCATGGAGTTAATAAATGCCACAAAGTGAACAAGTTTTGTACCATTAAAACGTGTCCAGGTCTTCTGATTTTAAGAGCTCTTTCCCCACCCCATACTACTGAGTATAGTAATTTGTAAATGTGAAAACCCACAATCGTTACTCAAGAAAAATAAGATCTTTCTTTCTTTCTTTCTTTCTTTC